AGTGTTACCCCATTGGTTCCTGTTGCATCTGTAGCCCCCGGCTTGTCTCCTCTAGGCTTTCTGTTCATTTGATGCCAGTGATTTTTTTTATTTTATTATTACTATTTGAGGCAAGAATATGAAATCTTTTAGGACAAAAATACATGAGACAGATAGAATTTAAGTATTGGTACTTAGGGAAAAATTAAGATTTACTTTTAATGCTGTATTTTTAGGAAGAAAAGTTCTAGTGGTTAAAAATGAGAACTTAGTGTAAGCAATGAAAGTTCAGATACTCACAAATTTATTTTGTCTTTTTTTTTGATACCATAAAAAAAGAAAATTTTCAAAAACTGTTTTAACTCAAAGGTAACTATTGTGGATATAAAATTATTGCAAGATGCTTCTACAGACATCTGAATTCTGTTTACTGTTAAAATTTCAAAGTAAATTTTTGCACAGTGATCTTGGTAGATATTTAATATTTGTAAAGATTGGGTTCATAGTCCAGTTTTCAAAATACCCAAAATTTGGCAAATTATTTTTTCAGAGTGAAAAGAGGCATTAATATCAAAGGATTTTTCTCAACCAAAATAGCAATATAATATTAAAATAACTTACAGTGCATGTAGTAGTTTGTGATGATATGTAGCATGCTGTGCTATATAGTACTATAATAGTACCATATATAATAGTGTGCTATATAATGGTTTTATATCTACTATTAGGAAAAAGTGAATTTTATGGACGTTATGGGTGCACATTTTAAGGTATTTATCTATTCTGTGTTTTTCATTTTAGGTTTTATATGAACAGTTCAAGTTTTTCTTGAATCTCTACTTTCTCATCGTGTCCTGCTCACAGTTTGTACCAGCTTTGAAAATAGGCTACCTGTACACGTACTGGGCTCCTCTGGTAAACAGAAAAATACTATTAACTAGAAGTTTGGCTTTTTTTTTAAACTACAGATGAAAAGTTTATGTATACATACATGTTGTAAATTTGCATCTGGTAAACTGCCGTGATTAAAATATATGACAGAAGTAAAATGCTTATTTGAAATGACAGCATTTTACAGCATATACTCCAGAAGCTGTTGTTTGATAGCGCTCCTTTCCACCTGCTTACCAAACTCCTGCCCCACAGGCTGGAGGTCTTTTTTGTTAACCAGCTAGTCTGAGTGAGTAGTGCTACATTCTGGCTGCTGGTCACTTGAGAGCTTTAAAAAAAGCAAACAAAAAAACCCACCAGCTGATAGTAGAGAACCTGATTTGGTAACATAGGTAATTTGTGTGTTAAACTTCTTTCAGTTTATTGTTACTTGCTCACTACTTTATGTGTTCAGGCTAGATCAGAATTGAAAGCATAAACTTTTTGCATCCCTTCTGCATTGGTTTTGATCATGTAATTTTTTCACAAAAATTGAGATAACATATGTTAAGCCATGGATCAAGTAGGGGAAAAATGTGTCTTGAAAATAAGTTACTCAGTAAACATGCTTTTCCTAATTGATGACCCTGCCAGTTGCACTGGCTTCCTTTCAATATATCTCTGCAGTATTTTCTTGGGAAACTGTTCAAACCAGTTGCTTCTGACTCAGGTTTCCTAAGGTTTGAAAATTGTATTCTCTTCAGAGGAGGCTCTTTTGGTAGTCTGCCAGATATATTCCCATGATTTGGAATTCTTTTCTTGTTTGTAACCAGATTATTACCTTCTCTTTCATCTTCTTCCCAGCCCCTCCACTCCAGGTTTAAAAGCAAGGCAGGAAGAACAAGTGCTTTATTTTCTAAATTTATAAAAAATAGTATTTTTCAGTACCATTTATTCTCAGTGGTGTTCAAGAGAAACAGTGACATGCTGACTGCTTGAGTAAAGGTTGTCCTTAACAAGTCAATAGAGTAAATATTCTGGATTGATTTCATTGTTTTAATTGTTGCAGTGTGTGTCCTTTTAAGTATTGATAAATGGAGACACTGTCCTGGAGGTTCTTCACACCTCTGTTTCCAGACAACTTTTGGCTTCTGCTGCAACAAAAAACACTTCCAAGACAGAAAGCTTGTTCAGCAGTGGGGTTTGAAACAGATATTTACAAAGGTCTTTGTCACTGACCCAGTGAGAGAAGCCAGCCTTGTCTGGAAGTTGGTCTTTTTGCAGTCCTGTGTACAGCTCTATATGTTAGTGGGGTAGTGAGGTAAAAAAATCACTTGGCATCTCAGCCCATCTCATCCCTGCCCAAAGAAGGGAGAAAATACTGTATTTTGCAAACAACAGTAATCTGTTCTGTATAGACATGTTTGTCTTATTCAAGGATATTTTGAATTATGTTCCCCAGTTTTAACATACAGCCTGAAAATACAACAATATCTCAGTTAGTGCTAGTGGTACCCTTTTCTGCTAAACCCACTTGTTTCTACTTGAATAGCTTTTCTACTAACATTAACCTCCAGGTAAAAGAGATTAATTGGATGTTGACGGAGGCTCAGTATCTATGATGAAAATATAAAACATTTAAGTCAGACCCATTGGGCTGGCTTTGTTGCTTAACAGGTAAGTTTGGTTTTCTTTGAAGAGCGTGTAGCTGCTGATAGATTTTCAGTAATAATCAGAAGAGTAGCTATGACTTGGCTTGTATTTTCTCTCAAGATTTTAAAGGAAAAGACAAATTTTTTGGCCTGATGCCTCAAACCAACTGAATAGAAGTTGAGTATGTGCTAAAAGGTTTTTTGGCTGGGGGTTGGGTTTTCTTTTTTGGTGGTGTGTGGGGTTTTTGGGATTTTGCAGATTTGGGGGGGGCTTTTTCTTTTTTTTTTTTAGTTCAACAGGTTTTACAACAAACAGAACTAATACACTTAGATCAAGCACTAGAGTTTTTCAAACAAGACTGTGTTTTACTGGTTTGTTGTCATTTGCACAGCAGGGAATGGACTTCTCATTTCGAGTCCAACATACAAAGGATGTAAAGCATAAAAGTTTGATCGTAAGCAGTGTGCTAAATATATTTAACTGCTTACAGTTGAAGAAATATGACAGTTTTTTTTATAAGATTGGCTTCACAATTTCACTTTCCCTTTGGAAGAGTATCAAGTTCCTTTGAGCAAATTAGGAAAAAAAGAAAAGTCTTTCCTAAATTGTTCGTCATAGTCACAGTCAGCTGTACTGAGCTGCCCGGCAAGGTACCGAGACCTCTAGGGGAAATTCTTACAATTAATACCTTGCGATCTGTACTTTGATTACTGTCTACTTAATGAGATATGTCCAAATGGCAAATATGTTTGAAGGTACTTCAGGACTGCCTTTTTTTATGCTGCAAAAGCCAAAGCTCATGAAAATGCTGCTGCCAGAAAAGGGGAGAACCCTACTGGTCATTCAGTTATGTCCTAGGAGTGAAAAGGAATGCATTTCACAAAGGCACTTTTTTGTTCTACATAGTTCTAGTATAATTGTTGTAGCTAATGTAAAACTGAACAGACAAGAAGCGTTTAACTATAAGGCCATAACAGAATAAGCCTTGGAATTTTGGGCTGGAACTGCGAAACATTGCAGCTATTGCAAAGGAGAATTTTAGTCAAGACTCCTTTAGGAAAAATCTACACCTACACCCCTTTCTTGTTGCTGGGAGGTTAGGGGAAGGTTGGCAAACTATTGGACTTCTGCAAGAAAAGGAAGTCTAATGGTATAAATTTTTTTCTGTAGAAAGAAAGTATTGGTGGGTGTCTGAAGCTAGATAGATAATCTAGAACCTTATCTGTCGGAGGATTTGTGAATATTTGAATTTTTTAGCCATATTACTTATAGTAATGGTAAGATCCGTTTACTGTTGAGAATTTTATTTCCCTTTCACTGATGGAGAAAGGTTGAGCACTTGGGTTTAAGAAGCTAGAAGACCATATCTGAGGACGTTTAGAAAGAGAGAGAGGAAACTCTCACATGCTGATCCCTGAACTATTCTGTATTCCTTTTAGCTTACCATCCTTTGTGGCCAGAGACCATCTTAGTTGCATGTAGCACAATCCGTGCTTCCAGCAGAATCTGCAGTGGAACTGTCCTGTGAAAGTAGCAGCCAAAGCATTTAGATACTTAGCTTTCAGAACAACCCCCCCTTTTTCTTTGTCAATATTTGTGACGTGTTGGTAAATAACTACATTTTAGATGGCAAAATTAATCAAACTAGCCATCCATTTACCTTTTCATTTCTGTCTGTTAGGAAAAAGGCAGTGAACTCAATTGGAATTGGAGACTTCTTAAATGTTTTTGGTAAAGCCCTAAAATTTGTGGAAGATAGGAAAATAGGCTTATTGAATTATAAAGACTGTCTTTAGCTCATCCAAAATATTTTTTAAAATTTCAGATTATATCTAAATTATGTGCGTTTGGAGATGTACATTGTAAAAATATAATTAGAATAACTACAAGTATGATTTTGCCTTTTTTTTGGACTAAACTAAACACTAAAATCCAAATGAGAGGAAAAAAGTAAATATTCTAAGCACATGTTCTTACTCTGTATGGTATTCCTACTTGTGTATTTCTATTCTAGGACTTTGAGAATTCTGAATTGCATAATTATATCTTTAACAGGGATTTGTGTTGACGGTTACGGTGGTACGGGAAGCCGTTGATGAATTTCGACGTTACAAGAGAGACAAGGAAATGAACTCACAGTTATATAGCAAGCTGACAGTACGAGGTTAGCAAAACCATTTGTATAAATCCTTAAAATATTTCATCTTTTTCTTATATATACTTTTAGAGACTTTCAGTTCAAAGAAATAACTAACAGTCTCAAGCTGCACTATTCAGAATGAAGCTGATACTGAACTAAAGTGCTTGATTTCCCTCAGTTAACTGTGACTGTTAAACTTGATCTGTTTAAGAAGTTTTGTAAATCTCTTGTTGCTTGTAAAGGAAAGGTGTATGTATATAATTGTATATATTTTTTAAGCATTCTGCTGTTTAGTACTATTACTTCAAACTGCAGTTCTCCTCTGAAATTGATACCAAACAGTAACTCAGCAACACTGTCAGCTATCTGTCAAGTGTATATAGGAAATAAGGGATCAGTAACTAAGAAATGTGATCTAATTAAAATTCACTAGAGCCTTTGAAACTTGGTGGATATATTTGTGCTTAGAAAAAGGAAGATGTATTGTGAGTCAGCTTCAGTATAAAAAATACTGATTTCAATTTTTGCATATAATTTGAAATCTATATGATCATGTGGTAGGAACAATCAGTTTTCTTTCTAGAAATTAATAGAAGAAGAAATCAGTTATGACTTTTTTGGACTCAAAATGTTTGACAGGTTTTCATGAGGACTTTTGAGGAAATGAAGCACTTCAGCTGTGAAGTGATAATTAAATTTGATAGGATATTGTAAATTTTAAACATGGGCATAAGAGAAAAAAACTATGCACTCCTCTCCACTTTTATGTTGCTTAGCACATTTTACTGTTTAGATTCAGAACAGAGTGCCATGTAGAAAGGTGCCAAAAAAATAATGAATAACGTATTATTGAGTTGAATGGTAATGAATAACCTTACAAAACAACACGACCTTGCTATGACCTTCAAAAGTGATTTTGCTACAATATCCTAGGAAGTCTCTGTTAAGGATTTTCCTTGGCATAAAAGTTCTAGAAAATGGGAAGCCATTAAGGAACATGGGGCTGTGTCTTAAGTGGTTAAAGTATACGGCATACATTGTGCCAAGTGCAAATTCTGTTCACTAACTCCCAACATACATTTAGCTGCACTTTTTAATATATCTTGGTGAATATTTTCTAAGAGTCAGAGGGAAGAGTAACCTCACCAAATCTGGGGGTCTTAATTAGAAATTAAACTCTTGGAGTAGCTCTGGATAATATTATCTCCAGAAAAAATGAATAAAAGCTTGTAATGAACACAAGTATGTTCTGAAATCCTACCTCATTTTTTTAAAGTAATTGGAAGGTAAGTAAACAGGCAACAGTGTCATTAGTGATGACATAACCTGGCAGCTAAGAGGAATTTATACTGCTTCCTCACAGTATGGAGACTTGCATTGTTTTCTGGAGTTTGGATACAGAAGGGAGCAACAGTAGGGAATATTTGCCTATCGTTCTTCCCTTCCATGTCAGCCTAAATTGCTTTATCAATATTTAGACATACCACTGTGGAAATTTGCAAATGGGATAGCTGTCATTTGTTTAACACAAGTGGTTACATTGCTGGCTTCCAGATTTCTTACAGTCTTTAATACAATCTGTAAAGAAATGGACTCAACGACTTTTCTTTCAGAGTTGTAATTTAACCTGCTAGTTTGCCTATTCATTTTTTTAGATCTGTTATGGTAGGCCACTGAATGCTCACCTTTGAAATAGATATAGCAGGAGTGCTAGTAATCTGAAATTCTTATTTCTGGAAGCACAGGTATAGTTTATAGTTACCAGTGTGACGTAAATGTCGAGGCTGACATCTGCTGTTTTAAGACCTAAGTTTGGTGCGTTTTGTGCCTTTTTTTCACTCAACCTTGTTTAGAGTTAATAGAGTAGTTTCTGGTAAATTGCTAGGCATTTAAGCAGCATTTGAGTAGAAGTTTTGGAATCCTGATTTCCTGTTTCCCAGTTCATGAAATATTTCGTGAGGTTATGTCTACTTGAGAAACTTTTCATTTTGTAGCTTCTCCTAGAAATAAGGAAGTTGTCCAATTAAAATCAGATTTGGTCACTTTTTGACACAGCTGTTTTCTAGATACAGAATAGAGTTTTTAAAATAGTATACAATAATATATAGGTAAAGCCCAATAGTTTTATCGGGAACTGACACGTGGAGTGCAATGACTTGTTCAAAAGAAGTTTTAAAAATGCACTTTTTTTTACGAAGGGTATCAGCTTTTACTCATAGATGTGTATGTCTATTTTGACTTCAGGTTTTGGTGTCAGTGCCATCATGAATTTTGTTTTCGTTCTGTTTTATGGCTTGGTTTTGGGTTTTGTGTGGTGTGTGTGGGGGGGTGTGGTTTTTTTTTTTTTTTTTTGAAGACTGTGATATTCTACAGAAGTAAAGATTCAAGATCTCTGCTTACAATGAACTCTCAACCCTGTGTTGACAATGGTGTGATCCATGAGCAAACAATGTTTTGAGTTGTGGTCAATTTTAAGAATGAAAACATTATTGCAGTCCCCACTCAAAATTAAGCTGTACTAAAAATTGCCACAAACACACATCGAAAATAATGAATAGATGATGAATTGCACCTTTTTCATAATATAGGGTTCTTTCATAATAAGGCATTCTGAAACTGAAAGGTACCACTTTGAGGCGAAAAATGGGATTTCCTGCTATGATAAAATTAGACTAAGATTTCTTCCAGGTTTTGAGAAGGATTTAGGTATTTATCTGTTGAAATTAATAAAGTCAAGTACTACACTTCTGCAAACTATTTATAAAAATAAACTTTCTATATAATCTACCTAAGTGTTAATATTGGCAGTACTCTTCATGTGGAAAAATTCACTTAGGCTTACTATACTAACCTGCAGGCTAATGGTTTGGAGAAAGAAGGCTTTGTTACTTGTGAATGAACAAACTTGATACTCATTTAATTAAAAGCCTGAAAATCGATGCCACTGTTAAGAGTCACTTTTCAGAGCAGAACTGCACTTTATACTGCTCTAGCATCTTTTTTTTTTTTTTCCCCCTAGTGATTTTATGACTTGTGTAGATTTTACAGTCTTTTCTTTGAAATAGGTATTTTTTCCATCTCAGAGATGGACAAACTGACATAGAGAGGTTAAGCACATTGCCTTTTCTCAAATTGGACAGCAGGAAAAGTTCAAGTTAGCACGATTCAATGTCACCCTTGGTTTAATTGTACTATTTATGGAAGATAAAAATGAGAATTTAATCATTTCTGGTTGGTTGTTTTGCAGAATTGTTTGTTTACTATAGGGAAACATGTATTTGTAGCAAGAGAAGCTGCTGGGATTTGAATTGTGATTAAATACTTGCATAAAAATAGTGTGGGTAGGCCAATTTGTAAGTTAAAAACTTTGTATACACCGTTGCAATAGATTAAAATTAGAAAGTCTTTGACTACCTAGCAGTGTTGACTTTCTGTGGAGTCATTCAGGAAACCCTAAATAGGTAAAAGATGTGATTATTATCTTATGACCTACATGTTGCTAGTGTAAGAAGTACCAGCTTTTGAAGATGGTGGATTCACATTAGTGATTCTTGAAGACTTAGAATTTCTCTTTAATAATTCAAAACGTTGAATAAGTCTTAGCTTTTTTTTATAGTAATGAGCTGTTCTGAGCAGGAAATCAAGGGAGAATGGGACATCTGTTTCACGTGTTACTGAATTGTACTTTGGCAGCAATGGCCAGCTTAATGTCCATAGACTGATTCTGATCCATGAGATATCCAGTGTTATGCAGTTTTTCTATTTGTCATGTAACATGGCAAAGCTCAGTCTTCAGTCATCCCTTGGTGAATTTGCTATGTGTAACTTTGCCCTTGTCAAGAAAGTAAACCTGCTACACGTGAAGTTTAAATAGTTTCTACTTTTTCAGCCCTTTGTGGCAAGTGATGGAACATGCAAATCGGTAAATGTATAGAATTTTTTTGTAAGTCAAGCGTACCTTTCTCCATGTCTTTCATGTGAATCTTTTCCCTGTATACTTTCCTAGATTATGGTATTGAATCTCTTAAGTTGTTCAGTGTATGATGCGTTCTGCAGTCTTAATCTTTTTGAGATATTTGTTGCAAAATCTACTTTCCTTTTTTTGCATGTCAAAGTCTGCAAATCCTCAATAGGCAGTTTTCAGTCAGGATGCAAGTTAAAGTTAGAAGGAGGAAGAGTATCTGCCTGTAGAATTGAAATGATCTTGCTGTTGAAGATCCTGTCAGTTTAACTGCCTTTTTTCTGCTTCAGAGCAGCTCACCTATGTATGCTTTTGTAAAGCAGAAACTGCAATGGAAAAAACTTTAGACCTGTGCGTGCAGGTTTAGGAAGACTTCAATTTTTCTTTCCTAAGGGACCATTATACTTTTGGTGCAGTGTCTTGTCTTGTGCTCTTAGGTATGACCAGTTAAATGCCTATGAAAAAGTGCTGCTATTCTGCAGAAGAATCACCTCAAGTTCATAAACAGGCTGTTACCTTTTTCATTAAGCTGCCAAAAGCCAATTGGATAATAAAATTGTAAAGCAATTTTTAATGTTTTCCCTTCCCATTCTTGAAGTTGGCAGTCCTGCCTTGAACCTCTCCTAGTTAGGTTTGCCCATGCAATGTTACTGAAATTTTGAAGAAAAAAGATGAAGAAAATAGCTAACTCTAATAGTCACAACCACGAGTTGCAGGAGAGGCATGCATCTGGCACTGCAAAAAAATCACGTTAAGCATCCTGAGATGAAGCGTTGCAGAATTCTCTCTTACTTTGCAACCTGCAAAGCAAAAGAAAAAATGAATGTCAGGAGAGATGAAATTAATGAAATAATTCCATCCGGGCTTCAAATGTGAAAGACTTATGTCTTTGCTGTATCCTTATGGGGTGTTTAAGAATGCAGTGAAGTTGAAAATGTATGCCAGAACTGCATGAAATTAAGAAAATATCAGTAACTGCTATACATAAGAAGAGAACAAAGTGTGAATGCTAGTATATTTCCTTTAAAATCTGAGAATTGAGAAGTCTTGTTTTAGAGAGCTACAATGATTTGAATTTTTTTTTTTTTTTTTTTACTTTTGAATGTCTGTTTATGCAGTGAGAGCTGCTCAGTTCCTAAAATGCCACCTTACTGAGTTTATATCTCAAATGACTTTTTTTAAATTGCTAAATGGTTTCTGTCAAGAGGCAGTCAATTTTCAATCATTTATACCTATGCTATCTGCAACTTTAAAATAAGGTGTTTGTCAGAATGTCTTGATTATTGTAATATTAGTCTTCTGCTGTTATTTGAAATCTGTATTAACATTAGAATTTCAGCTTTTCAAGAACAGGTCATCCTTCTGCTTTTTAAAGAGCTGCTGCATTAAAAAAAAAGTTATTTCTGCATCTAGAGGTACAACATTAGGTCTTTATTGCTTGCACTATTTCAACCCTACCAATGACTTCATTCCTGGTATTTAGACCATTTGGAACAGATAAATATTTAAAGAATTGCATCAATTTAATCTAACTGATTAGGGAAGCAGTAAGCAACAGAAACAGAACTTGAATTTTTAATGTAAGAAAAAATTTCAAAAAGAGGCTGGAAGAGAAGAAGTGTCAGAGGGACTGTTTTCTTCCATGTTTTTGCAGCATCCAGGAGATTGGGATAAGAAGGAATGGAGGCCATTTCATCCAAGAGGGGACAGTACACAGAGGAGAGGAGCTATGAAGCTTCTCTCCAGAGTTTTATATTGATGATTAAAGACTAACTTCAAATCACCCATGCAAGATGGAGTTTGGAAGAAGGATGTAAGGCACTTGCACTAAAAGATCAGCATCCTCACCTTGGACTCTCTGTAGCATTAAGCTTTCCCCATTTCCTACGAGCTCCGCCCTGCCAGCTCCCTATTATATTATGTATATTCTAATTATACTGACAACTCAAGCAAATAGATGCCAGGCAAAATTTTCATATGGTCTATACCTGACTCTTTTCATTCAAGAGCTCAATATTTATGAGTTAGAGACAAGCTCTGTTACCAACTCCAGAAGCAGTACTTCAGAAATTACTCAGGGTACCGTGGGTAAGATGTAATAATAAATCAAAAATAATTTGAAAATGCTACCCTCAGAAGTTACTGTTCTTTCAAGAGTGGCTTGCACTAAGGTAGTAGAGACACTTTTTAATAAAAGAAACAAAGTCATTTCTGACATAGTATATACCCACATTTTCTTTACTTAATTTCTTAAATTTTTATGTGAAATACTTGTTAGCACATATGAGATATATATTAGTTTTTCAAATCATTGCAATTCATTTCAAAAGGCTTTATCTTGGGTGTGTAATGAATTACTACAGACATATTTCAATGTTCCAGTTCTGCATAATTCTGTATGTTGCTTTAGGCAAAAGCCTTGCGCCTTGGTGGACTATAAAGTCTGAATGCGCAGCCACTTCTGACAGCATTGGACATTTTATTGGTAATTACACAGATGGTGAAGAGTGTTTTGCTATGGAGATGCTTTTAGAGAAAAAATAGTTTGCAAAAATAATTCATGCAGTGAATAATATTCAGTGTCTTTTTTTTCTCTAAATGCATCTTCACTAAGATGTAGTATTACATTATTTTAATGTTCTCCGAAATGGTATCTAATGAATCTCATTTTTGCTAGTCTAAAGGAAAGTGTTATTGGTTGACTTTTCAAAATTTTAAGTCACCTCTTGGATTACTACCCCATTTTACTATGGCATATGCCCTGCCATTCAGATACATTGTAGAATTAATTGTCTTGTATGTCACAGGCCGCTTCATTACGTGTGGGGATATACAGGATGCTCTAACAAAACATATTTTTGTGTGATAAAGATGGTATTCTGTAGTGTTGTACTAAGCCACCTAGAAAACAGTCTGATAAGGAAACTTTTCAATTCGTAATGTGAAATTCCCAGGATTGCTAGACTGAGTATGAGCAAAGGTGTAGCGTGGTTTCCTGTTGGTATACTTGGCATCAGGAGTTTTTGCTTTTTGCCTGCCTTACATCATGTTGCAAATTAATGTTCTACCTTCTGTGAGGCTTAGTGTCTTTTGATCTTTACTGTAGGTGCTGTTAGAACATGACTGTGGAAAGTTCAATTGTTTAAATTGATAAAATTGCTAGTAGTTGCGTTTGACTACTGTCACTGGTTTTGATCATACATGACTGTAGGTGGTGTAGATCTGAGACTTAACGTAGCTGGTACTAGGATTTTTGTGGCCATTATTACTACAATCAGTTGATTGACTTCATTATTACAGTGATAAACTGATGAAAATTGTTGTTGGAGGAATTGAGAACAAATAGGAAATGCTATCTTTTTAGTAAAGTGAACAGACTTAGAAAGCAAAGTAAATGCTACAATGTCTTTCTGGTGTATACTGTTCACTTCTAGTCAAAAGAGAATTCACAGGCTTGTGCACTTAAGCAGAGTAAATATGTTGATTTGGTATCAGACTGTTCTTTTAGTGGTTGAACTTTTAGTATTAGTTACTTTAGATTAAAAACAATAAAAAATTGTTGAGAGATTGACACTAACTTAATTTCCATAGGTATCTTGAAACTCCTGTAGGGAACTGCTAATGTTTCTTGCTACCGCTCTTTATACTTTGGTCTTCTGTTACTCCCTTCACCCTCACAAATATGTTATGGCAGAGTTAGGAGTCAGGTTGAAGATCTAATTTGGTTTATATTTGGGAATGGGATGAGTGGTGTGGTTTTGGCAATTGAAAAATTGAACTGGTGTGAGAGATCATTATCAATACAAAGACTGGCTTTCAGAAACAAGTTTGCAGGCAGGCCAAAGAAAAGTTCTGATTTTCCTCTGACATGGCACATTTTAGAAGTGCTAATGTCATGGAAAATGTGTTAAAAATTGGCTATAAGAATACATTTATTATTGACCAAATTAAACATAAACCAACTGTTACTTCTGCATGAAATGCGATTTTAACGAGCAAGTACTGAAAATAATTACTCACAACATGAATCTTACTACCTTTGACTAAAGGCACATGTAAGTATAAGGAATTTTTGAGGGTAACTACTTGATGTCTCTTCATTGAGAGTTATGATGATGAGGTCTCATGGATTTAGAAACTAGCTTAGTGGTTTTTTTTTTTTTTATACTTAGTATAACTTTGAGAGATGATACAATGCACATTGACAAATCTACTGTTTGTGATACTTTTGATTAAGCTTCAAACTGATTGCTGCTCATCCTGTGTTTTTGTGGGTCTTCTAATTTGTTCAGTCTGATTTTTATATAGAACCCTAGCACCGTACCATGTTTTGACATGCTTCTCATTTAATACCGGCCACTTGGAATCATGGTAGTGTTTCTGATGGGAAAAGGTATTTTGTATGGGGGTGTGTTTCAGCGCCTCAGGCTGTATAAATATGTGTGTTTACATCCTGAGTTAACAGGTTCTGAATTTATCACCTGTATCTTGGAAGAGGATACCCATATGTCATGACTTGTTTGTCTGCAAGGGTGGGGCTTTTTTGGTTTTTGGTGTTTTTTTTTTTATCTCAGGGAAGCAACTTTTTCTGGAATTGTAGCAGGGACCTGGGACTAGAACTCCTGAATTCTAATGAGATCAACCATACCTCATTTTGGGGCACTAGCTTAACCTCTCTGTCTCAGTTTTTCCATCCATCAAATAAGAATGTTAAATATTAATACCTTATGGAAGATACAGAAATTAAATTGGTACGTGTGCTGTGTATATTTTTGAATGAGTTGTTCACAGCAGTTACTGAATGGGCAGCTCTAGGGAATGAAAAACCTCGTTCAGCTTTTGATGTTTCACTTTTCTAAAATGAAATCTTCAGGCATTTCTTCTGAGTTTAGAGAGACTTACCTATTTTCCACAATAATTGCCAACAAGCGTCAGTGCCAATTACATCAGTAACTTCAGTGGCCAAGCAAAGCTACCTGTTGGTAACTGGGCTGTGACTAACAACTCATGTGTGAGAATGGTCCATGACTATAAGCCTGACAACTCTTGACTTGTCATAAATAGAAGTGCTGTCTAGTAGATGTGAAAGACTCCTTTTTCCTATTTTGCAACTCTGTTATACTATAGATCAAACTTGAGCATCTTCCATACCTATTTTTTTCCTCTAATACTTCTACAATAGCTAACTGGTTAACAAAACTAGATTTTTTTTAACCAGCGAATTATTTATTTAAATGGATGAAATCTATTTATTAATGTGTTCATCAGAGATCCATTTTATATAAACTATAACTGTCTTCACCAAATAATAACATCTTTAAGTATAACTTACATTCTGGGATTTATGTTCTTGTGACTTTATATTAATGTCTGCCTAAGTTGATTAAATTTCTTCTTTTTTTTAAGGTAAAGTGCAAGTTAAGAGTTCAGACATACAAGTTGGAGACCTCATCATAGTGGAAAAGGTTGATACTTTTTAACTATATTTTAGAGAATAAAGATTATTAACATGCTAATTATATTCTGAAGAAAAGTATATCGAGGTACTTATCTGTGAAGTACTAACTAGCTAGTATTTTAGTTCGTCTTATTTGAGAATCTTCAAGGAAGTCTATTTTTTATTAATTATAAGCTTAATTGAATGTAAGCATGTATATTTTATGAATCGGTATATGCTTAAATTTATCTAGCAAAGGGAATACAATTATTGAATTAAATTCTCTGGCTTGTACTGTGGTGAATGTTCTAAGATGTCTGATTACTGATACCTTTCTTCTGATGGTCAAATCAGTGTTTTTCTATGACTGAAGCCTTCAAGGATAAGTTTTGTTTATATAAAAACATATTTATATAAGTATAGTATGTACATAATATATGTATAATTAAATAATATTAAAGTTTATATATTTTTAAAGGGACAAAAAGCTTTCCGGTTTCATTGCAAACAGTGAGTGAGAGCTGTGAATTTTTTCCCCTCTATGTTAGTATTACAATAAAGACAATGTTGCTTATTTCATTTGGTTTTCTGAGGTACTAAGAAATTATTACGACCTTGAAAGCCAACTTAATTTTCTTGTCAGAGGAAACTATTTTTACTTAAGTTCATTTTGGAAAGGTAACTTGCTTTCTGTGTACCAGCAAGTGATTCCCATCATACTTTGTATTAGAGAGCTAATCCAGGGAGATGCTGGAAGGAGGCATCTCAAGTTGAAGCTTGTATCTACAGCTTTGTTTGAAGTGTTGGAAGATGCAGCTTGACAGCATAATCCTTAGTGGAACCTAGTCGGTGACTATTCTAAAGTTCTTGGTGGCTCTGCTCCTATTCAGTGAAGTAAATTACTTCTGATAAAAGAAAATCCTTCAGGAAATATGCCCTCCTGATACGTTCTGTGCTTTCTTACTTGTCAGCACCTCTCCTTTTACTTGGAGAATTTGGAGAACTCATAAATTGTTAGTGGATTATTTTCTTTTTTCAGCCGTATATAAGAACCCCCTCTTATGTTTGTTTTGGAACACTTCTGTTTCCTCCCTTTCTGTTTCTTCTGTAGCCCAAGAAAAGAACAATACACCCAAGTCTCATTTGGTTTGCTACTTTCATCTTAAAATTTATCTATTTTCATGTAGCTTATATGATAACTTGCTTTTTTTTTTCTTTCTTTTGTCTGCTATATGTATCTGATACTTTTTGGGCCTGTGTGAGCAGCATATACTAGCATAGGCAGGATTAGCATTAATATGTTTGGCCTTTACATCTGTTTTGCTTTATACCTTGCTATCTTAAAGTGCAGGTGGAATCAGCTTGCAGCCGCTCACTTATGCGTATTCCAGATCTTCTAGGAGACTGAGAATGAGATATTTGCTTTGATTTTTATTAGGAAACTTTTTAGGGCCTTCTTAATCTCTAAATCTGGAATTAATTACTATAGAGTATAGGGAAGAGTCAAGTGGCAACATAGATAATCTGCCTTCTCTGAAATTTACGGAGATCCATCAGTCTGGATTATGCTAGAATTTGGAAAACTGGAATTACTTTGCGGATCGGTCTGTCTTGTATGAAGTAGGTCATTAGCATCTATTTCATCGTTATTTGCAGCAGTTTACAGATCATATGTTGTGAGTACCTGAAGTTTCTAATGAAAAAAAGTAACATTTAAGGATTTAGGGAAATAATGAGTAGAATTCTTTTTGATGAAGGTTTTACTCAGGTTTCTCAGTAAGATGCATACAGTTATTTGAATGTTGTATTTCAGCTTCAAGCTCCCTCATGCTCCAGCAGACCTTCTTTTCCTTTTGACCTAGCTGGGGGTGCCTTCGGACTAATGAAATAAAATGTTTTCTGTGTCTATTGAGAAGTGTATTTTGTAGGAGCAAGCAGTTTTCAATTTCAGAGTATGATGCTTAAGCCAAAGAACCAGTCGGGAGTGAAACATTCAATTGCTCACTCTAATAGTAAAGGAACAAGTTAACATTGTATTTGACTGGAAGATGCATCAACAGCATTTCTGTGGTGAAATTAATGACTCATTTGAGTTGAAGATCCATATGTTAACCAGTGACTGCATCACAAATACTAACAACTTAAGTGAAAGGCTTTTCTATATTTAAACCTTGCAGATCCTCTGATTATTGGTTTTTTTTTTTTTTAAATAGGCCTGATAAATGTCAAAGCAACTCTTAAGTGACTAGAATATGCTTAAAACATTTTAGTTCAAGTAATATATCTATTATTTCAACTGAAAATATTGTAATGCACTAATACTAGGGCAGGAGGAGGCCTGAATAGAAGAAAATACTGCCTGTTTTTAAAGGCTAAAAGACATTTGTATGTATTAGCTGAAAAACGGTCCCGTGCCTCAGAGACATACTACTTCTTAGATGTTCTCCTTGGCTTGTGTTAAGATACATTTTTAGTTTCTGATGGGAGCACAGGTGTGCATAGTGTTCCTAAATAAGACAATTGAAGGGAAGAGTTCAGATAATGTTACTCAGGCACTGTATCTTATTGACAGTTTGGAATACATTTTGGAGATGTGAAGAGGACATAAAACCTAACACATTTAGTTAATAATGTTTAATGATAACAACACATAATAGTGTTTTAAAACATGTGGAACAGTAATGGTTTATCTTAAAACTTTGAGAGCTTTTCTTGGAGCTGTAAAGGGACATAATCCTTTTTTCTTAATCTCAAGTGTAAAGTGAAATTAATCCAGTATTTGTAAGGATTGCAGTTAACGCTAGCATGCAGTATTACACAGCATGCAGGTGCAGGAAGACAGCTGGGAAGTGCCTCTTCCATTTATAACTCAGAAGCAAGCAGGAATATTTTAGTCAATGAGAAAAGTACATGGTTCATTACCTGAATGGAGAAGAAAGGACCGTAAATGCAAAATTGTGAGGGTCTGTAGCTATGGGCAGTTGTAGGGGAATTGAAAGACTGACTAGGGAGCCAGAGAAACTTAGGTAAATAATTTCATGGTAATAACATGAGAAAAATGAAAATGTAATTTGAAAGCCACTAGAAATGGTATTTTTCAAGTGAATATTGTAGCCTGTGTTGCAGGGAAGTATAGGTGTATTTGTGGGTTTTCTTGTTTTCCAATCTGCCTAATATTCCTGGATGGCATGGAGTTAGTCATGGGAACCCAGAAGCTGGGGGACTACTTACCTTTTGTTGACCATTGTCTTGCCAAGATTAGATCTCTAGGAGTGAATCTGTAAGTCTGCAGCATAGACAAACACAGACAGAAATGGAAGCCTTTCTTTGCTGAAGCTCTAATTCTGCCCAGACTTAAGCAAAACAATGTATTCAAGTAATTTTTATGACTTGTATATTCAAATTTCAGTATATATCAATAAACACTTCTGGCTCCTTTGCCATGGTAATAGAGATTACATAGTTTCTTCATGGGTTTCTGAATGCTTGAAGTTGTATGTGTTGTCACTTTAACTTGTTCCACTTTGATAAATATGATGAGAGGGCTAACATGATTGACATATAGCTGCTGTTTGTCTGTGACAGTGTACAACAGAACTTAATCTTCTCCATAATGAGGTCTTAAAGATTTTTGTAGCATACTTGCCATCTGTTTCTGTGTAGTCGCTCTTTCATAGTGACTAGGTATGGCTTTGCAGGAGGATCTTTGCTCTCCAGTGTCAGCAGTAATAGTGACAAGGTTTTTTGGTATCTAGTACTCCTGGAGTACCTTTCAGCCCATTTCCAAAATATGTAATATGTGATGAAAAACGAGATGTCAGTCTTAAATACTGTTTTGGTGGGGTTTGGTTTTCCTAAGGAGAAAGTAAAGACAGTCTCTAGCCTTCCCTACATGAAAGGACACATTCTGATATGTTAATGCAGAAGAGCTTACATTATTTTACAGGAAAGAAAAAAGCAGAGAGAACACATTAAAAAGACATAAAATCAAGATGCATTTTTCTATTAAAATGTGAAAATGATCACATGACTAATTTGATTGCAGCCCATGACTTCCTTAAGGGGGGGCAGCAGAGGGGGAGGTGCTGATCTCCTCCCTCTGGTGACCAGCGACAGGACACGAAGCAGAATGAAGCGGCATCAGGGGAAATTCAGGTTGGATGTTAGGAAAAGGTTCTTCACTGAGAACAGGTCACTCACTGGAACAGGCTCCCCAGGGCAGTGGTCATGGCACTGTCAGAGTTCAAGGAGCATCTGAATGATGCTCTTAGTCAAACGGTTTAGTTTTAGGTAGTCCAGTGAGGAACAGGGAGCTGAACTTGATGATCCTTATGGGTCCATTCCAACTTGAGATACTCTGTGATGATGCTTAATTTTGTCAGGCATAAAGACTTGAATCTTGGATAGCAAGTACCAGATGAATGTTTCAGTTACTGAATGTGCAACGTGTTCTTTGTGTAAGTTGGTAATGATTTGTAAAAACCCGATACCTCACTTGGATTTAATTCAGTAGTATGTCATTTGACTGTTATTTTTTGCAAAATTTTTGGGAGTTGATCAAGTGTTTTAGCTTGTTTACAAGTAACTGGAAGTTTGTAGGCATGAAGCCAGTAACCTGAAACTTGTCTAATGGATTTGTGTCAGAGCTGGGAGGGAAGCTGCAAAAATGTATAGCTAATCTATATGAAGACTGGATATCTGTTTAATTGTTATTGTCATTTAAGGAAAGATTTATTTAATTTTGAAGTTGCACTTCCTCTTTTGTCTTTCTTTCCTCTAATAAGTGTATAATAATGTATACGAAGGTTAATGTTTTTACTGGAGTTTTTTCCAAATCTGAAGAGATATTCCCAGTTGAATCTGGGCTCATAATGGATAATAAATTTCACTACATGTTTAATTATTTTCTGTTGTAAGGCAGGTTTCCCAAAAATGTTGTACTAGCTGCAGTTGCAGGTGGGCACCCTCGTCAAGGTGAATACTCTTGACATACAGACAAGCACATGAATTTTTAACTCTTTGTGCTTTTACAAATAAATGGGAATTGCAGCAAATGAGGAAGTAAGCATGCATAAAAATGTATAATTTTAAGGTATGAGGTGTTTTTTTGCTAACTGTGTAGGATTTCTAGGTAAACCAGAACATATATCTATTTTCTAATGTTTCCAAACTGGCTTGTTTTCCAAGTATCTTGTTTGCTTGAGATGGTACCATCTTTAGCCCTTCATGACCCCTCTATATTGAACTTCCCATCACTAGAGAATGCAGTTGCAGTTGCTTCCAGTCCCACTTCTGAATCAGTGTCCTTGAGAGTATGTTACAGAGAGTGGGCAAGAGGTACTTGCCTCCCAGAGTTCTAGAGAGTTTACATCATCTTTTGAAAGCTGAGCCCTTATAACACAGAATCTGGCAGAGAACTCTTGTCAGATCTATTCAGGTCACACTATTCCAAATGGCACTGTTGTGGCTGCATGCTGATCTCAGAAAGGTTTCTTTGGAGTAACGGAAAACTTAGCCTACAGTATCCTGGGTGTTTTGTGGTCAAATAATACTGCTATATGAGTGTGGCTTCTCAACAACTAAAGCAAATGTTATTACAGCTTTATATACGGGGAAAAATCATCAGCTTCTTCAGTGGTGTTGTCTGGTGTAAATACACATTTATTCTCTGTGAGACGTGAAGTTCTTCACTCTCTGAACTGATTTTTATGGGTAGTCAGGCATAGTATTTTGAAGGTCTCCCTGTCACACAAAGCACTGTTTAATTATCTTGAGGGATGTATTTTGAGCTGTTTTATTGCAGGGACTGCGAGTGTAGGTACTTCTAAGATTTTTCTTTTGACATGCAGTGATGAAGGGGAAGTGCTGCCTTCAAAAAAGTAAAAGGTGGAGGGTTAAAAATGAGAAACTGTGTCTGATTTCAAATCAAACCAGTTTGAGAATGCTGGGTTTCTTTATGTTCATAGCAGTGTTTTGTCCTTAAATGTTGAGATGGAGGACTGGCTTGACTAAAATGAACATAAACACTCCTCTATGTTTGTGTTGCTGCTTCTAGGAGGTTTTTGAATGTGTTTGCTGATGCTGGGGTCTGGGCTATTGCCTAGGTTCCTGTTGGGATAAGTACGTTCAGAGATGCTACACGCTGAATGCAGTTGAATTTCATGTAAAAATAATTTTGAACCCATTATGTTTTTCTTTGATAGTTTCCCATAGAATTAGTATCTTTCACTTTGATACAATGAATCAAAGTACTGTGACTAGGATTACTCTTATAAAATTTACAGGTGGGATTCTGTATACCGTGTTCAGTACATGAGATGTTCCATTGCTTAGTGTCTTGAAGTTTTTAGGTTAGCTTGACCCCATCTTCATTGCTGTTTCCTCTGTATAAAATAATTAATCAGTTTTCTATAGCTGGTAGTTTATGTGCAAAATAGAGCTGCAATTGAATTATTACTGCTGTATTAATTTTGCAGTTTGATTATAATTGAAGTGTGAAATAGAGAATAACTGTGCAGCTTTGAAATGCTCATATACTGAACGTGCTTTTCTTACCTGACCGAATTTACTCGACATAAGTATTTTAAGGCTGAAATCTTTGAGGTTCATGTATGCCATGTGGTGGGCTTTGTCAGCTACATTTACTTTCTTTTTCACTGAGACAGTTGAGCTCTTAAAAATAATAAAAGATGAGCCTCAGGTATGCAGTAGCTTTCAAGGCAATATCAGTGCAGTATAACAGGAAAGCATGAAATTTATTCTCAGATGGAGGTACTTTCTATGTGAAAAGTATTAGTGCATTAAATCTTAAGTAATCTGAAATGAATATTAAGAAGGTTTTTTTTAAGCATGAAACTAGTAAAGCCATTGCTAATAATCTACCAAGATATCTTAATTGTTAAAGGTAGTCTGTAAATGAAATGCAAATTAATCTTTGTGTTTAGCTTCAGTATCAAACAGTACAGCGTGTGCCATACTGGACATAAGCTGTGATGGAAGAAACTGCAGTTGAGTACAGAATCTTTTCTCATTGCTCTGTCCAACATGCACTCTGGTCACTGTCAGCTTAGTCTGTCGCTTTTTTCCTTTCCAATCCTATATCTCTCTCACATTTGGACATGTTGGTTATTTTTTTACTTTTTCATTCCTAAGCCCTGTGCTGGTAGATGCCTTGTGAACAAGTGGTGGGAGAGCTAAGGATTTGGGTAGTTGTGTAGCAGCATGCATGTGGGAGGGCAGTGTTGTTCATTGCGTTTAATCTGTGAAAGCTTAGATTGGCCTTTCTGTGGTCAACAAAAAATTGAAAACATGATTTGATACAGATATTTCTCTTTCAAGCACAGAACTGACAGAACGGGAATGCAGATGCATCTGACTGTGCCTATGGCTCTATACCTTAGATATTGAGGAAGAAACACTATTCTGTTTTGCCTTTGTAAAGGAGAGGTTTATGGATCTGTGGAACAGGAAAATGCTGTTCCCTGACTTGTTGTTTCCTCTGTGTATGTTTGTGTGTGGTGGGAGAGAAGAGGAGGGTACTTGGTATACATAATGTTTGCAACTGTGAGTGGCAAGACCGATGTTTTAAATGTCACTATTTTTCTATTATATATGCTGAGTATCAGAGTTTTGTTCAGTGAAATTATGTTTACAGATATTTCAATTAAATATTTATATTTTTGAACTACTGTTTTCAGTCAAGAAAATGTAAATCTGTTGTAGTTCTTCAGGTATTTATGACTCACTTATAAAGAGCATCTGAAAGGATTAGTTGTTGTTTGCTTATTGTATAATTTTTCGAAAATATTGATTTCTGAATTGCAAATGCTGAATGTAAAGTACTGTGAGAAATCCTATTTTAATTGAGTTTCAATCCAAGTGTGACCTTTTGGTGATAGATCTTACTGGACATTTGATTGGAATTCACTTTTTTCCTGCTTAAAAACATACACTTTTTTCTCCTCTCCTCAGAATCAACGAATCCCATCTGACATGGTGTTTCTCAGAACATCGGAGAAAACTGGTATGTTTTGATAATTCAGATTGCTTACGTGATAAGTTTGTGGTTGTGGCAAAACTGTAGATTGTGCATTGTGGCCAATTTGAAGTGGTCAAATAGATTGATGGTAGGAGATCTACCTTCATCAGATTAATGGGAGATGGTCCATATGTGACAAATACAGTATGCTTGGACTGTAAAACAGGAGAAACCTTACTGTGAATGTGAAACTGTTATACTCCTCTAAATAGATGATTTTTATGAATTGTTATAATGTTAGGTAGAGCAAATAATAAGACTAAAAGACTGTACTTATTTAATATGACTTGTCAGTATTTTAAATGATTTACAACTAATCATTATCTTGCAACACATTTAAATGTCATGTGATTTGTAGTTCAGTTATTAAATTGAAAAGAACTGAAATCTGAACCTACTAATGTGATTAAAATATTTTTGAAAACCTCTTAGTGATCTAAAAACCTGAAAAAAAATGGGTTTTTTTACTTAGAAATAATACTGCCTTTTTGTCAGTCAAAAAAAAAAAACCCCAACAAATTTCTTGAGAGAGAGAAAGAAAACAGAGCTTGTTAGCTCTATTTCCCTTCACATGGTGATAGGGGAGTACTCTTAATCTTTGAAAACAAATATCTCCTTTATAGGAACCCTATAAATTATAGCTGTTTTGATTAAAGTTTAGGAATTACTATTGGATACCCCCAATATAACTCAAATGGGTTTCCCTCCTTTATATTACCATTTCTCTTCAGGCCCTGAAGAACTGTCTGATATTTGTCAGACAGCACTAAATTTCACAAAGCTAATAGGTGTGATATTGGTATACCGTGTATTAGTGGCACTTGGTATTTCATGGTGGCACTGGAGTTCTATCATATATTTCAGATAAAAGGCTAAATTTGCAGAGATCACTTGCAAGAGAAGACAAAAATATTTCTGATAGCCTACAGGACACTACTAGAGCTATATATTTTGCTAAAAGAAGTTGTTACTGTGTCTTGCTAATGACTTTCAAATGCTGATTAGATGTACTAGATCATCTATAAATGGTCTGGACTGACAAACTTTCCTAATAGTCTGTATATAATCTCCATCTTGGTTAGCCACCCTCTGGTTCAGGATACATGGGCTTTTCTTTTTATACCCTCTTACAGTACTACATTTTATTAAAATGCATAATGCTTTTGACAACTCAAATCTTTTGGATCCAGCATGATTATAAAAGAATTGATAATGTTTCTTTTTGGGCTGCTCACAATGTCATCTTTTCCTACTGACTCAAAAACTGTTTCAGCTGAAATCACAGCTCCTACAAAAGTAGAAAGTGGGAGGACTTCTGCACCTGTAGAATAATTACTTTAAACTGGGCCACTTGCATGCAACATGTAAGTGTTAGAAGGTCAATGTGTGTTGATCCAAAATTTTCCTAGTCTTTACTAGCTATATTGGATTAGATGTTACATATCTAGGCATTTGGAAGCAATCATCATCCACTCCAGCATGGGTATATATCAGTTGTAATTTCTTTAAGTGATGTGTGCATGGTAGAAATGTGCATGGAACTCAATATGTAACATCGTGCAGTGTTTGCTGTTGTAGGAGCATCAAGAACTGTTTGGTGAGAGCTAGCTTGCTGTCCTTAATTAGGATCCTTGCAGCGGTTTACATTGGATGCATTGTCACTGCTGGAATAAATGAACAAGATGAGACAGTTGCCCAGCTTGCAAAAAACCAAGATCTTAAATTATATATTTTGCATATCTGCACTATAGCAGGTTTTCCTCCCTGTTAATTCATAAATTCTTGGGTTGTGTGTGAGGTTATAAGACACTGTGTAGTTTCCCTTCCCTGTAGTACTATTAGTTGAAGGATGGGACACAGGTGTGGTTGTCAATGAATAACACAGGCCAGAAATGCATCTGCACAGGATATCTCTGTGTCTTGATTGGAATATATGAGTAGTAAATCTTGAAGGACTACAGTTAGTATAAGTTAAGCTATCTCTTTGTCAAGATATAGATAGGGGGAGTGGAACAAGGTGAATCCCTATGTCAGAAATGTGTGAAGAAAGACATTTTTGAAAGTAAAATTCATCAAGTCTACTTCAGTGTTCACTGTTCGTCAGCTTTCTTAGAATGCCATAATTAAAATTAGCCTGTAAGAAGCTCCATTAATTTGCCATCTAGAAAATAAAGCTACTTATTTAAAAAGCTTATCATGTTATAACAATGACTTTCCATAATTGATGATAAAAAAAGATTCTAAGCACTTTGAAAGAGTTGTGTATCTACTATGTAAATGTTCATTATAGTGTAAAGTGAGTAAAGAGCAAATTGAGTGAAATCTTTCCAGAATTCTGATCTAATTTACATACACTTCTGCCACACACGTTGAATGTGATTTTTAACATTGAAAATGCACTTTCTACAAGCATGCAACAGGTTAATTAGTTATATTGGTGTTGCACTTCTTGAAAAACAAAAGAAACAAACATCCTCCCACCCCCTCCAAAAATAAATAAAATCCCCTGAACTTCAAGCATATGGCAGTAATTGGTTTTTGACTAAAGAATGAACACTTACATCTGTAATTGTTTCTTCTTGGATGTTGCAGTTTTGACTGATTTATGGTTTAATTTATAGTTGACACTTTAAGTACTTTGTAAAACACAGTAGCTTTTGCATGATTTTATGTTCGATATGTAATTTTATTTTATCTTCTGTGCAGTAAAACAGTTTAACTATAACTTGTTACTATAAATCTATAAAGAGTAAAGAGGAGAGTTTGAAATCCAACCCCCACCCTATAAGCTTCTTTTGGGGCAAAGTACTATCTTCCAACTTCAGTGTTTATGCTACATATTAATCTGCAGCACTGTAATATCCTGTATCTTCAGTCAAAAAGAAGCTGTTTGAGTTATAGATGGGTAGTTTACGAAGATCAGCCTAAAACTATTCTGGCTTCTTTTCATGCAAGTATGGTACCACGGAAGAAATGACAGTGGCATGTGCTTTTTTCCACTCCCCTTCCACTTCCCACCCGCTCCCCAAATGCATTTTTAGAAATGTTGCGGGTTTTTAGGATACTTTTAACTCTACATAGTACAAGCTGAATTTCAGGGAATCAAGCTCATTTTGATAAAACTGAATTCTTACTACATGTCTTTTTTTGACTTTGATACATTGTCTTTTAGCTAGAATCATCTTCATACAATCTGATATAATGACTTGATGCTAATTGTGTACATGTATCTAAGATTCCTATTTTTTTAATCAGACTTTTCTAAAAGTTAAAGACTAACGTAGGTGGGTCTTTGTTTTGCATCCGTGTTTGATAGTCTGTAACGTTAGTATTCCCCTCTTTTATGAATGGTGGCAGCTAGATGGCTGTTTAGATTGCTGTTTGAGTTTAGAGTTAGGATTACTTCGTGGGGGATGGAGCAGGTGGAAATCACTCCTCAGATGTGAATTCTTTGCTGCTGTCAGGCTCCCTATGTAACAGGGGTTTCCACAAGATCTTCATTAGCTTCCAAAATAAAAATTAAAAAAAAAAAAAAAGGCAAAAAAACTCTGGAATAATATATATATTTAAAAAAGGAGGAGGTGAAGGTTAAGGCTGAACCTTGGTTTTGCTCATTACATGTGGCAGAGATGACAAGCAATTTGGAAGATTTGTCCCATTTATCTGGGAATATCCCATTTATCCGGCCTTCCACCAGACTAAAGGAGATGTTCATGCTGAGCTGGCTGCAAATGATGGTTTAAAGGTTATTTTCATTTGGTATATAAGCAGGCATCATGCCAGAAACAACCGATTACCTTAGTGGAAAATTGTTACGCAAATGTAGGTAAGATGTGTTACACCAATGGAAAGCTCCCTTACTGAGATTAAGCTAGATCCTAAGTCACCTTTAACGTAGTTTTCAGGTTTTGGTTTTTTTAATTGCTTGGCATGCTCTCTACATTTTATTTGTCTATATGCCATCTCAATCATAGGTCAAAAGCTAGACAGGGTATTCCAGACATCATCGTATAACTTTATAATTGTCCACAGGAATTGCCAACTGAAGCAGGTGTTAATGACTTCATCATTATGGGAGTATTCTCAAAGATACTATGTTTGTAAAAGAAGAAAAGTTTCAAAGATAAACTCTTTCCTTCTCTAAGCTAAAATCTTTGTCCTCCACCTTGGCTGTGCCTTGTGCAGGTCCTTGGCTGTGCCTTGGTTCAGTGACCGGTTTCTGATCCAGGTCACATATTCCTATGTTAACACACAAAAGTGTTCTGACATGAACTAAACTGGTGCTTCATGAAAATCTGGTGCACGTCTTTATAAGACTTGGTATCTCTGGAATATTGGTGCTCTGTTAATTTTGAAATGTGAAATTCTGAGAGGAGCACACATTTGATAGGGTGGCTGCAGTGTCAAAAAAGAATGAATGAAGCTTATTTTTTCTTTTTTCTTTAAACTTTTCATTTGCCAACCTCCAGTAACCTCAGATTCTTATTATTCATGCGGAAAAAGCTGGCATATGCAGTGGCTGGTTCCGAGCTAAGCACATGTTGATTTTTTGCTACCGGTTTTTTCTAGGTCCTAGAACAGATGACTGCTGGAGCTAACAGTTTGGTTTTTCTCTTGTTTATGTGGCTTTTTCATCCTCTCGTTTTTCACAAAAATTCGAGGAACTTCATATCCTTGAGATCTTTTGTGTGTCATACTTGGTTGAATTTGGCCACAAGCTGAAACTTACTGGGAGCAAGATGGCATGCCAGATGAGTATTGTACATGGAAATAGGGCTAAACAGGCTATTGGCTAAAGGCTCTGCAGCTGGGAGATTGAAGGGTTAACTACCTTTTGGGCTTGTGATATGCTCCATAGATGCTAGGACTATGAAGAATTGTTTGTATTCTGTACTACTGCTAACTATTTAGGCTTACGACAGACTAATCACAACACTGTTATGATACTGTTTTCTGTTAGTAGTTTTTTAGGAGGCTAAGAATTG